TATAAAAGAAAACAAAGACAGGAGAAATATGAACATAAATAGACAGCATGGTGATCTGCACAATACAAAAACATAGATTATTATTATTATTATACGGGATTTATATAGCACCAACAGTTTGCGCAGCGCTTTACAATATAAGGGAGACAATACAATTACAATACATTTCAGTACAGAAGGAATGTGAGGGCCCTGCTCGTGGAGCTTACAATCTAAAGGAAGGGGGAGGTGATACAAAAGGTGATAGCTGCGGGGGATGATCTGGCGGAGGTGATTCAAGTACTGTTCTTAGGTGGAGGTGGGGTAGGCTTCCCTGAAGAAGTGAGTTTTCAAAGATCACCTAAAGGCAGACAAGGTGGGGGCTGACCGGACATGCTGTGGTAGGGAGTTCCAGAGGATGGGAGAGGCTCTGGAGAAGTCCTGGAGGCAAGCGTGGGAGGAAGTGATGAGGGAGCTAGAGAGGAGGATATCATGGGAGGAGCGGAGTGGGCGATTTGGGCGGTATCTGTGGATGAGGTTGGTGATGTAGCTAGGGGCAGTGTTGTGGATGGCTTTGTAAGCTGTGGTTAGTATTTTGAATTTTATATGTTGGGTTAGTGGAAGCCAGAGAGGGGCAGCAGTCGCTGATTGGTTGGTAAGGTGGATGAGTCTAGCAGCAGCATTCATAATAGACTGAAGGGGGGAAAGCCTGTGTAATGGTAGACCAGTGAGGAAGGGTTTGCAGTAATTGAGGCAGGATATATTGTTTTGTGGTGTCATTGGTCAGGAAGGGGCGGATTTTGGAAATGTTCTGGAGGTTGAGGTGGCAGGATTTAGCCTGGATTTAGGCATAGATCAACATAACCCTGCACATCGTTGGGTTACATTATTTGTCAAAGGCATGTTACCTGGAAAGGTGTCTGGACTATATAAGGGGGGGGGGGGGGGAGAGAAAGGACGTCTACCAAAGGGAGAATGATCCCATAAATGAGGGCATCTTTTCTGCAACAACCCTGATAGTGGCAAGGGATGTGAGGACATGGAGTGGCACAATGACCAATACTGTAGGCAACACCTAATCAGAAAGCAGGAGTGTAGCCAGGACATAAGCTGAAGATTGTCAAGAATCAGGCAACAAGGTACCAAATTTGAAGGCAAGAGCAGGACAGCAAGGCACAGGAGTGTAGGGCAAAGGCAGTCAACAAATAGAAGCCTCAGGATCAACTTCATTGTGGTTTCCAACACACAGACTAATCCATCAGGGCAGGTAAGCCCTCTAGTAATTTTTACATGGTCAGGAGCATACTCATAGTCTATGAGGGTATGCATACCCTGATGGATTAGTATGTGTGTTGGAAGCACAATAATGTTGTTCCTGAGGCTTTTATGTGGTGAGTGGTTCCACTTCCTACTTTGGAGTTTCAGCATATGTGTGTGATAGCACTGGACCAGTATGCAGTCTGGTAACTCTGGTGGTGATCTGGGATATGTTGACTTTGTTGCAGGTAAACCTTGCTGGCTCTTTTGTAGTGATGGATGGACGCTCCGCAAGATTGATATTTGGATAGATGTAGAGTCCTACTTGGTATGGAAGGTGGTCACACTTGCAGTTTTTTATTAAAATGCACAGTTCACAGTTAAGAGTGGAACCAACGCATTTCAGGGGAAGTACCTCCATCTTCGTCAGGGCATTGATGGTGGGTTTGGTTAGGATTATCCTGGAACTGGAGGTCAAAACATGGAACCCTTTAGGTGCTATCAACACCTATCCTTTGGAGTTTGGCATACACTGTGATTATAGGATACTGTAATTATTATTACAGGTAATTATATAGTTAATATAATTTACACAGCACTTTACATATATATTGTACATTCACATCAGTCCCTAACCCTTAAGGAGCATACAAGTAAGGTCTCCAACTCAGATTCATACATACACATACTGGGTAAATCTAGACAGGAGCCAATTAACCTACCAGCATGTCTTTGGAGTGTGGGAGGAAACCTGAGTACCCAAAGGAAACCCACACAGGCACAGGGAGAACATGTAGACTCCGACCCTAGTGCTGCCAGGTGGTACCATTTAGCCACTGTGCTGCCCCATCTGTTTAGCCACTGTGCTTTCCCATACTGCATGGAATCCAACTTTGAGCAGCACTAAAAAGGTGCATCGATCACTGCATGCTGGTAATGTTGTGGTTGGGATTCGAACCGATGATCCTAGTACTGCAAGACAAAAGTGCATTGTTTTGTGGAAAACAATAATGATGCTTGAAGCACAACTCCAAAAAGATAAAAATACCAAATGATGAAGGTATATATTCCATAAAAAAAATTGATTCAGCCCTGGTTCACACTGATGCGGTGCAGAATTCGCAGCGTTTTCAGTGCAAATTCCGTACCACCTCAGAATCGCACCCCGTTCATGCGAACCGCTGTATGTAAGTTAACACCCCCGAAAATGGTCCGCAAAATGTAGTGCGATGTGCAGAATCGGATTGCATAGGTGTGAATACCCATGTGATTCAATTCTAGTGCGGACCCAAAAAAGGGCCCTGCACAGGGGTGGACTGACAACTCATGGGGCCCCCGGGCAATAGGGGATCATGGGGCCCCTGTGTCCTTGCCCAAACTCAAAAAAGCCTATGAAGAAGGCACCAGGGGAATCTCATGGGACCCCCTACTGACCCCGGGCTCTTGGGCAGTGCCTGAGTTTCCAAATGGTCAATCCGCCCCTGGACGGGTGCGGTACGATTAGAGCCATACAAAATGTATCCTCCAATTGCACCGCACACAAATCGCATGTGATTTGCACAGGAATGCGGTGAGGTTCCTGTGTGAATCACATGCGATATACCGCACCGCATGTACAGTATGTGAACCCAGGTTCAATGTATTTTTAGATACAATTAGTGTAAGTCCCTTATACCAGCCATCTGTGGTCTCCTGCACAGCAGCACTCAGAGTCCGTTCACACTGGTTACTGCATTACAGCACAGTAGCTGGTGTGCAGTGTGATCTGGCTGGATAACTGCAGAGCAGATGAGCTGATCCTGCCACATCACACTGTTACACAGTGACATTTCATTAAGTTCTATTGGCTGCCGTGGTGAGAGGCGGTGGATTGCTTGCACTGCACTGTGTTGAAAAAAAGGTAACAAATACCGCCTGCATTTTGCTTTGTTTTTCGGTGGGTCTCCACTGGACTAGCCGCCCAATGCAGCCCCACATCTGATGTGAATGTACCCTTAGACTGTGAGAAGGAGCCAATCAGCATCTTCTGAATTCAGAAACATGCTCACAGGAAGAGAGAGCAGAGTGAGCAGAGGAGTGACCTCATTATTGTTCTGCTGACCTTTACTGTCCCATCAGCACGCTGGGGGCGGAATTGTTTTAACCTGTACATTCATTAGAACTAATGAATCGACTTAGATGAGAGGTGAAATGTCTTCAGCATTACAGAATAGGTCCAGCTGAATGTAGTTACTACCAGCTATGCAGCACTATGTCATATATCATGCGAACCTTCAAAGACAATGCAAAGCCTTGTAATGCCATAAATATGCATAACTTACAGCATTGCAATTCACCTATAAGCGTTTCTAAGGTGCGGCTTACCTGAAATATGCAAAGAAGTCAAAGTGTTCATTCCACGGAACCCTCTCCTACCTATGTCAGTTATGTCAGTTATGAAGCACGATCTTCACAGGGTTAGGGTTACAACGGAATTCAGACTTTCACTGGTATCAGTAATGATTGTCACATATTTGGAGAATTTACAGTGTTTGGGATGCCGAAAGTAACCTTTCAATTTTCAGCTGACACCTGGAATCTGATTTGTAGTTTTTAGGGTTGCAAATGCCCCCTTTACAGAGTTCCGACATATGTTTTAATGAAGGATTCCACTGTGCACTATATCTGCACTGACACATCAGCTAACATGTCATTTCAGGGGAAAAACAAAATCACCTTTCCTTTAAAAAATTAGACATTTTGTTTACAGGGTCCCAAGTGTAAGTATTTTTAAAAATGCAAAGCATGCATTTTCATCAACATATAACAATGAAGGATGAACAATGAAAAAACACCTGATGATCCAATGTAATCTTTCCATAACCTGCTTCGGCTATGTTGCTGGAGAGTATGAGGGGGCAAGTACAGACCAGGGGCAGACTGACCATTAGAGTACTCGGGCACTGCCCGAGGGCCCAGGTTCAGTAGGGGGCCCCATGAAATGCCCCTGGTACCTTTTAAAGGCTTTTTTAGGTGTGCTTTGAGTGTGGTCAAGGACACAGGGGCCCCATGATCCCCTATTGCCCAGGGGCCCCATGAGTTGTCAGTCCTCCCCTGGTACAGACACAATATTGTGAGAGTATATCAGACATATGACTGTATATTAGTTGTGCTGTTACTGCAAGTAAATGACACAAATGAGTTAAAGAGGAACTGAACTCTGAAAACTGCCAAAAAAAAAAGCCAGACAGGGGACAAAGGGTAAGATAATGCCTATGGTCTCCCTGCAGCTAATTACTCTGCATTAGTGACTTACTATGTCTTGTTCTACACATTGTCTCTGTATGGAGGTGGCCATCTTGGTAAAGGCAGGGCTTTTTTCTTCCTCAAGTCAGAGCCTCTGGCAAAAAGAACAGTGAACAATGGCACAGTAATGACTTCACCAAATCTCACTCCAGATCTGCTGAGACTAGCAGCCAGAGAAAGCAGTGTAGATATACAGTATAGTGACGGCACTGTAGATACAGAAGTGCCTAAGTAGAAACACACCAGGACGTTCTCTGCTTTTCTTCAGGAGCAATTCCACACAAAAGGTAGGTTTTTTGGGGTACAGCCTAGCCAAGATTAACATTTCTAGATGTTCCCTATGTACCAGGATGGGTACTGGCCAAATGGCAGAGAGTAACTGTAACTTGCAATTTATTAACCTCTTCCCGTTCGGCCCATTGCCGATAAATGGCCAGACGGGAGCACTGCCAACGCGGTTGGACGTTTCTTAACGTCCCCCCGCATCTATTGCCTGTGTGCGCTCCCTGGGAGCGTGCCGCACCACGTACACAGATCACTGTATGGGACCTCTGTGTGAGGTCCCAGTTTATGTGATCACTGATTGGCCAATCAGTTATCACATGAATAGTAGTAAACAAGATGTCACTTCCTGACATCATTGCTTACTACTTGTGAATTCTGTGAATGATCACAGAGGTCACATGGTATTCACAACAGCCTTGTACCATGTGATAAGCTGTGACCAATCACATCTCACACAGTATTTCTCAATGGCTGCAGGAATGCAGCCAGAGTGAAGGAGAAATTATTGCTTTTACAGCCTTTATGGGTGTAAAAAGCAATCAGTGTAAAAAAAGAAAAAAAATCTTCCTCACCCCCCACACGTAGTACAGTGTCACTATGGTGACACTGTACTGCTAGGGTGACAGTATGGAAAAAAAAATAATAATACATAAATAATAATATAAAAAATACAATAAAAATGTGAAAGTATTTTTGAAAAATTATTTTCAGCTTTCAGTGCTATCACACTTTGAATGACAATTGCGCGGTCATGCAACACTGTACCCATATGAATTTTTTAGAATTTTTTTGAGACAGATAAAGCTTTATTTTGGTGGTATTTATTCACAACTGGGATTTCTATTTTTTTGCTCTGTAAATTAAATCCAAACATTTTGAAAAAAAAGTGTTTTTCTTATAAAATTTTGCAAATAAATAATATTTCATCATAAATCTTGGCCACAATTTATTCCGTTATCTTTTAAGTAAAAAAAAAAAATAACCCAAATGAGTTTATAACCAAAAATTATAATTTTTAAACTTTTTTTTACATTTTTATTTTTTTTTTATATTATTATTTTATTTTATTTTTTTACATACTGTCACCCTAGCAGTACAGTGTCACCAAGATGACACTGTACTACTTGTGGGGGGTGACGAAGATTTTTTTTTTTTTACACTGATTGCTTTTACACCCATAAAGGCTGTAAAAGCAATCATTTCTCCTTCTCTCTGGCTGCATTCTTGCAGCCATTGAGATCTACTGTGTGAACTGTGATTGGTCACAGCTTGTCACATGGTACAAGGCTGTTGTGAATAGTCTTGTACCATGTGACCTCTGTGATCTTTCACAGATTTCACACGTAGTAAGCAATGATGTCAGAAGTGACATCTTGCTTACTACTCTGCATGTGATCACTGATTGGTCAATCAGTGATCACATGATTGGGACCTCGCAGAGAGGACACAGCGGGCACCGGATTGTGGTGCTGCGCGCTCCCAGGGAGCGCGCACAAGCAGGGGGAGGGGAGGCCGTTTATAAACGGCCACCCGACCCTGCACTGCCACCGGCCGTTTATATACAATAGCCGGACGCAAGGTGGTTAACACCGCTGCTTACAATTATCCTTAGAAACAGCATCCCTTACAGTAAAATCCAGGGATTCTCTGGAATTCAAGGCCTAGGGACATAGGGCTACCCCACTGGAACTGCAGTACTCTGATAGCAGTCAAAGAGGAATATCCCATTTTGGCCAGGTCTTTTGGAGAAGCTGTGTGTTACTAGGCTCTGACAGGGCTGGCTGTTGTTTGGACAACAGATGACTCACCTGCCTGCAGACCACTTGCCTAGCTACCTATGCCTCATCAGGTGTGATCTCTCTGGGCTGCTGAGGGAGGGAAGTAGAGAAATGTGTCTTCCATGGGCATGTGGTTAGGCATATACCTGTTAGGCCTATTATCCGGGATTATAAACTGTGCTGTAGTTGGACAATTTTGTATTGTCTTCAGTATCTAAACATTTGTTTTTTTAAGGCTTGGATAGAGTGAAGAAGGGCTAGAACCCTGTCAGGTTTTCTTTTTTTGCTGTTCATGTCCCCATTCGGGAGATTCACCCTCTCAAATTGTCCTGTGACCTTTAACACTAAAATTGAGTAAAAGAACAACCCAAATTTTGAGTGTTCACCAGAACAGAAATAGAGGAGAAATATTCCAATGGTAACACTAGTTCTGCTTACCCTGGTGACAACCAAGGATTTCCCTCACTTTGGAGGGATTTATTCCCACTTCTTGTTGTTGCTATGGGACAGGAAGTGAAGGAAATCTCCCTAATGGACACAGATGGCAAACAAAAATTGATATGGGTTATAATGCTTCCAATTTTGGCTTTAGTTCTACTTTAATTCTTGTAGTGAAGCCATTATCTGTGCTCTTTGAATCTAGTAATTTTGTATTTCAATGGTTATTAACTTTTGTAAACAATTTAACAAGAAGGATTAGAGCAAAAGACACGCCCACGCAGGGGCTATCAATGGTATGGCACATAACAAATAAAGAAATCAGTATTGTAACTCCAAAAATGCAAGAGGCGTGCCCACATAGAGGCTATCAATAGCACATACAATACAGAACCAGTGATATAACAGCAACAAAAATCTCCAGCCAAAGGCAAATATCTGTCGCCTCACGTAATCAAACAAAAAAGAGTAATGAAGGAAGAAGAAAACAAGACCAGAAGCAGGGATCCGGGAACGCATTTAACATACAGCGTCATAAACCCAGCCTAGCTGGGGGGAGCATGGGAAAAGCATATGTCAACCACGGCTCCCATATTTTCAAACATTTTCATTGGGAGTCACTAGGGATACTCGACATTTGTTTAATGAGTATCAGAGTGGTTATACGGTCCCGCACAAATCTAATAATTTTGAGGATAAAATTGCTATTTGCAATTGTGTTGCTGTCCTCTAATGTACCTATATAGTATATGTAAAGAATGCTTATCTCCCCTACCACATGCAGCCATATATTTGTATACAGTTTAGTTGGAGTGCACCTAGACTAACAAATTTATATAAATAAATTTGTGAGATGTCCATTTTTTTAATGTAGGGATGAAAAAGTCACATGAAGGACAGTAATAAAACACATCCTTGGCTGGCTCTCAACCGTCACTTGTAGAAAACCATGTAGATAAAAATATTTTTAATCATATAGTAGAGGATGTGTTGGTCACTAACAAACTGCTATTGGATTTATTAATGCAGCTGGAAGTAATGCTATTTCCAAAAAACACAATAACACACCTGCAAACTGAAAGTGGATGGAAGACAAACAGCTACATTCATAGTCATCATACATTTGTCTAAACAGTGTTAAAGTAGGATTCCGGACTTAACCTAACTAGCCTTAAGCCTAGTACATACAATGAGAATATACGATGAATAATCGTCAGGTTTGTTTTTTTTGCATGCTAGTCTCTTATCGAAAATGAAGAGGCTACAAAAGTTACGAATATTTTCGTATGACAGAATACAACTTTGGAAGTGATATAATGTATTGTATTGTAATATATTCTTTTGTTTCCAAGCATGCGCAGTCTTGGTCACATGCTTTTTTCTGACGAATACTGTATTGATTACATGAAAATTGTTCATTCTGTTATCATACAAGAAAAATGTTTGTGCTTGTCCCTTCGGTTATTTTTGCATGATCTGTCATGATTCAGCTCTTGAAAGCTGTGTACTAACTATCAGATTATCGGACGACCACTCCAAAAAATGTATTTTTCGGCCAATATTCTCATGACACCCCCCCCCCACACCTATATTAATGTTTGTAAAAAGGATGTTCATAACTAGCTATTTTCAGGTTGCTGTGGTCTTGGGATCACCATTGTAAAACCCAACAGCAGCTTCAGGGGGAGAGAAGAGAGTGCTCAACAATGGCTGGTTATGCAGTTACATCCCACCCATTGTGGGAGCTCCCTTCTCTCCCATGCAGCTGCCACTGGGGAACCATATCACCTGACTGGACTGGAGCGGCCTGAAATTAGGTACACTATATTGCCAAAAGTATTGGGACAGCCATCCAAATCACTGGATTCAGGTGTTCCAATCACCTCCATGGTCACAGGTGTATAAAATCAATCACCTAGGCATTCAGGCTGCTTCTACAAACATTTGTGAAAGAATTGGTCGCTCTCAGGAGCTCAGTGCATTCAATCGTGGTACCGTGATAGGTCGCCACCTGTGCAATAGGTCCGTGAAATTTCCTTGTTACTAAATATTCCACGGTCAACTGTTAGTGGTGTTATAACAAAGTGGAAGCAACTGGGAACAACAACAACTCAGCCACGAAATGGTAGGCCACGTAAAATGACAGAGCGGGGTCAGCTCATGCTAAAGCGCACAGTGCGCAGAAGTCACCAACTGTCTGCAGAGTCAATAGCTAAAGACCTCCAAACTTCATGTGGCCTTCAGATTAGCACAACAACAGTGCGTAGAGAGCTTCGTGGAATGGGTTTCCATGGCCGAGCAGCTGCATCCAAGCCTTACATCACCAAGTGCAATGCAAAGCATCAGATGCAGTGGTGTAAAGCACGCTGCCACTGGACTCCAGAGCAGTGGAGATGTGTTCTCTGGAGTGACAAATCACGCTTCGCTGTCTGGCAATCCGATGGACGTGTCTGGGTTTGGCTATTTCCAGGAGAATGGTACTTGTCTGACTGCATTGTACCAAGTGTAAAGTTTGGTGGAGGGGGAATTATGGTGTGGGGTTGTCTTTCAGGGGTTGGGCTTGGCCCCTTAGTTCTAGTGAAGGGAACTCTTAAGGTGTCAGCATACCAAGACATTTTGGACAATTTCATGCTCCCAACTTTGTGGGAACAGTTTGGGGATGGCCCTTCCTGTTCCAACATGACTGCGCACCAGTGCACAAAGCAAGGTCCATAAAGACATGGATGAGCGAGTTTGGGATGGAGGAACTTGACTGGCCTCAACCCCATAGAACACCTTTGGGATGAATTAGAGCGGAGACTGCTAACCAGGCCTTCTCGTCTGACATCAGCGCCTGACCTCACAAATGCGCTTCTGGAAGAATGGTCAAACATTCCCATAGACACCCTCCTAAACCTTGTGGACAGCCTTCCCAGAAGAGTTGAAGCTGTTATAGCTGCAAAGGGTGGGCCAACGCAATATAGAACCCTACGGACTAAGACCATTGAAAATGCCATTAAAGTTCATGTGCACGTAAAAGCAGGCATCCCAATACTTTTGGCAATATAGTGTATGTATATACTTCTTTCTTACACAGGTTGGTTAGTATAGGTGTAAGGATGTGGGAGGGAGTGTTTTTAGGGAGTGTTTTTAGGGAGTGTTTTTAAGACTAGTTAGGTACAGTCAGGTCCATAAATATTGGGACATTGACACAATTCTAACATTTTTGGCTCTATACACCACCACAATAGATTTGAAATGAAACTAACAAGATGTGCTTTAACTGCAGACTGTCAGCTTTAATTTGAGGGTATTTACATCCAATCAGGTGAACGGGGTAGGAATTACAACAGTTTGCATATGTGCCTCCCACTTGTTAAGGGACCAAAAGTAATGGGACAGAATAAAAATCATAAATCAAACTTTCACTTTTTAATACTTGGTTGCAAATCCTTTGCAGTCAATTACAGCCTGAAGTCTGGAACGCCGAGACATCATCAGATGCTGGGTTTCATCCCTGGTGATGCTCTGCCAGGCCTCTACTGCAACTGTCTTCAGTTCCTGCTTGTTCTTGGGGCATTTTCCCTTCAGTTTTGTCTTCAGCAAGTGAAATGCATGCTCAATCGGATTCAGGTCAGGTGATTGACTTGGCCATTGCATAACATTCCACTTCTTTCCCTTAAAAAACTCTTTGGTTGCTTTTGCAGTATGCTTTGGGTCATTGTCCATCTGCACTGTGAAGCGGCGTCCAATGAGTTCTGAAGCATTTGTCTGAATATGAGCAGATAATATTCCCGAAACACTTCAGAATTCATCCTGCTGCTTTTGTCAGCAGTCACATCATCAATAAATACAAGAGAACCAGTTCCATTGGCAGCCATACATGCCCACGCCATAACACTACCACCACCATGCTTCACTGATGAGGTGGTATGCTTAGGATCATGAGCAGTTCCTTTCCTTCTCCATACTCTTCTCTTCCCATCACTCTGGTACAAGTTGATCTTGGTCTCATCTGTCCATAGGATGTTGTTCCAGAACTGTGAAGGCTTTTTTTACATGTCGTTTGGCAAACTCTAATCTGGCCTTCCTGTTTTTGAGGCTCACCAATGGTTTACATCTTGTGGTGAACCCTCTGTAT